TCTGTCAGACCCAGCACAGTTGGTTTTTTTTTTTTTAAGCAGGACAATGCTGTTTTATTGAAGCAAATAAAATGCAAAGAAGCTAAGCATACTTTCTGCTAATGTTTCGATTCATAGGCCCCATGAGAACAAAGATCTCGTCTACCTTGTTCTTCATGGTGATCCCCAATCCAGCACAGTGCCTGTCATTCACACACTATTTGCTGAATATAGTGGATTAAATGGCAGTCTTCAAAAAGATACGTCTACATCCAATTATATTGGACCTGTGAACACTATCTTTTTTAGAAAAAGAATAATGGGAGAGGTAATTTGGTTAAGGATCTTGAGATGAGATTACCTTGGATATGTGAGTGGGCCTTCAATCCAATGGCAAGTGCCCTTATAAGAAAAAGGCAGAGGGTGAGTTGAGATGGACAGAAGAGAGGAGACAGAAGGATGGGGGAGAGGCAGTGTGATCCCAGGGGCAGAGACTGGAGGAATGTGGCCACAAGCGCAGGAGGGCCTGTGGCCACCAGAAACTAGAAGAGGCAAAGAAAGGACTCTACCCAAGAACCCCTGGGAGTGTGGCCCTGTTGACACCTTGATTACAGACATCTGGCCTCCAAGGCCTAGCCAACCACTAATCTATTTTCTGTCTCTCTGGATCTGCCTATTCTGGACATTTCATATAAATGGAATCATGCAATATGTGGACTTTTGTCTTCCTAAACTTAGCATAGTATCACCTCCTTTTATATTCTAAATGTATTGTAGTGCCCCTGTTGCTTTCCTTAAATGAGATTCATAGAAAATATGACCTACTTACATAATTTCTAAAAATCTGCCTTGTAATAAGAAGGTGGCTTTTAAAATAAGCAAATTCTGGGGCCTGTCCACATAAGGTAGTAGGATCCTTGAACCTATACACAGTGTCCCTGTGCGCCAACTACAGTGGCGTGGACATGGGCGTGTGACATTAGAGTCCCAAACACAACAAGTAGCATTTCCATCGGTGACCCAATTTCTCCAAACGGTGAGCCATTCTAGATACAGTTCCAAACAAACCGAACTTCAGTCTTCCCTCTGTTTACTTGGTGTTTATGTTCTCAGAACCTTCAGTGCATGTTCAAACCTTGCAAAAAAATATTTGGTGTTGACTTGTATCACAGACTTAGGCTCTCCGTTCAAAGGATTACAGAGAGGTGTTCACCTACAAGAATGTCTGGTGGAGCCCTCCAGAGTCATGTTAGAGACAAAAAACGATGTTCGAGAATGGTACCATCTTGTGTGTGAGTGGCACACCACACCGCCGGCCTCCTCCCCTCTTCATGCCGGCGGGGCCTACCATCATCGAGCTAACCAAGAGTGTCTCCCAGGAAACCATATGTCCCTTGTGAGGACCAGTGGTTTAGCTCTTCTGAACTTAAACGTTTCCAAGTACACGATCACCTCTGGGTTCCTAGTCCATCAATTTCTGTGGATTTTTTTCTCTCTTATTGAAATAATTTCTACTTGCCATTCTTCCAACACTTATAAACCTATCCAACATTCTTCCAGCTTAAAAAAAATTTTTTTTAATCTATCTGCTGCCCCACTTTTGCTGACCTTGATCCTACCTTTCTCTCTCACCTGGATTTTGTAATATTCTCTTACCTGGTCTCCTTCCCTCTAGTCTTGATGTCTTTGCCCCCACTCTGCCCAGGACACCGGAGGACAGATCAGGTCTGGCTACACCTCTTCCCCGAACCTCCAATGGACTGAAGACCTAGATGCCCTTCTACACAGTGTCTCACGGCCAGGCCCACCCCACACACCTCCTCATCCTTGAGAGAACTTTGGAAATGTTGACATGTTGAAACCTAGTGCTCAATGGAATGGTATTAGGAGGTGGAGCCTTTGGGAGGTGCTTTGGTCATGAGGGTGGAGCCCTCATGAATAGGATTAGTGCCCCTTGTAAAAGGGACCCCAGAGAGCTCCCTCACTCCTTCTGCCAGGTGACGACCGAGCAGGAAGATGGCTGTCTGTGAACCAGGAAGCAGGTCCCCACCGGACCCCAAATCTGCTGGCGCCTTGATCTTGGACTTTCCATCCTCCAGAATGTAAGAAGTAGATTCCCATTGTTTATAAGCCACCAGTCTATGTTTGGTTGTTATGGCAACCCAAGCTAAGAGAGCCACTTTTTGTGATGTGATCAACATACAGTAAATTGCACGTCTTTAACAGCTTTATTGAGGTATAATGCACATACCATACAATTCACCCATTGAAAATGTCCAGTTCCACAATTAGTGTGTTCACAAACTTTACACATATTTAAAACGTACGAGTTGGAATATTTTGGCATATGTACATATCCCTGAAATCATCACAGTTGTTAAGATAGATATCCATCACCCGTAAAAACATCCTCATGCCCATTTGTGATTTCTTCCTCGCCCCACCCCTTTCCCGGCAACCATCAGTCTGCTTTCTGTCCTATAAAGTTAAGCCACTTTCAAGAATTTTCTAAGTATGTACTTCTTTTTTCTTTGTTTTTTGTTCTGGCTTCTTCATTCTGTCTCTGCACATGTACATATCCAGAGAATTCGTTGGATAATTTTTTTCAAAGCATATTTGAAACAGATCTTCTGTTTATGCGAGTTTTCTCCACTCACGGACTTGAAACCTAACCCAGGGCTCGGCACATCATTGCTTCGCTGTAGTGAAAGCAAAGGCAGAGACTCCCCAACCCACGAGTGGTACTCCTTTCTTAGGACTTGAAAAATATAACCCTATTTTTTTTTTTTAAGAGAGCTGTCATTACGGTAACTGTTACTTGAAATCTACTGATCAGATACAATGTGATGCTGTGGTAATATTGTTGAAAGAAAATGAACAATTGTCCAAATTCTTAAGAACATCCTTCAAACATAGAAGGCAGAATAGAAATGAAGTCAGAGGGATTTGTCAACTTCAAGGAAATTTAAAAATTTGTCTGAAGGCCTCTCTGGCTGTCTTCACCTAATGATATTAAGGGTCCCTGTCTGAGGATTTCAAGAATTTCTGAACAAACTAGAGTTATTACACCAGCCGTGTTTTATTTTTGCTGGTGAGTGGGGAAGGGACAGTGTTGAGAAATCCATCTCAAGAAGCTTCTGCGACATTCCTGGTAGTCAGTGATGGCTGTGAGTTTTCCAACTGCACACATAATTGTCAGTCTGATGTGGTTTTTACAGGTTCACAGGAGGGAGGCAGAAACATGAAAGAGTGAGTTGGTTTCCAGGGCAGTAGTTCCTGGTAATAAGGGGATGGTAAAGAGGTTGAATTTCAAAGTCCGATTAGAAATCACAGCTATGGAATTCAGTGATTGTCACTGAAAAGCCTGTGGATTTGGCCTGCTGTGCACAGACAGTGGCTCTTGGTTTTTTAACCCAGAGCAAAATGGCAGTGGAGCAGAAAACATAAGCAGCGCCTTCTGGGGGATGTGCGTACGCTAGAATAATGCTCCGAAATAAACGAGTTAAAAGAAAGCACCAGAATGTGGAAACCCTAAAGCACTCTGGCTGACTAATGAACGTTATTTTGAAATAGTCCTTCCTCATGGGTTTTGTTCCAAAGCAAGGTAACTCCATCCGTCACGAGCTAAATAAAGCCCTAGTAAAATCAATTAGGGTTAGGTTTATGATTAAAGCCTATGACAAAGGGACCCAGGCGAGAACACAGTGTCAAACAGGGCTCCTCAGATTCTCGTGCGCACACGAACCACCTGGGAGTCTTGTGACAATGGGGTTCTAACTCCGTCTGTCCAGGAGGCTGGGGCCTGAGATTCTGCCTTTGAAACCAGCGCCCAGGTGGTACGCACGCCGCCCACCCTCAGACCACACTTCAAGCTGCAAATGCAGACTTGGGGGAATGGGTTGCTCTTCTCTCTTTATCACGGATCCTGAAATCATCCTGTAAAGTTCCCTGACAAAATGAGTCTGTGGTTAATAGTCCTGTTCATCTCTGAAGGATACAGAAGCCAAATTCTGATTTCTATCTTGTGTTCTAAAAAAAAGAGGGGGAGGCAGTTTTTTCGTTCATGTCATCATGAAACATCATGAAAATCATTTGAAAAAACTGTAGATTGAGTTGTCTTTATTTTAGGGTTGAAAATATTCGTGCCATTTATTTTACTGATGCTCCTGATGACTGAAAGAAATTAAATTTTATTCAGTATGTTACCTACATGCATCAGGAATAACAGTGGCATTCAAAACTTTTTTAAGCAGAACTTCAGAACAGTTGCTTTTCTGGTTAAAACTTGAAAATGAAGACTGTCTGATTTGAGAACTGTCCTGGGTTTTGAGGTATTATAATGGTAGCATCAGCCACAGATTTTGAAGCAAAACTCCCTGGTTTCAAATCTGGTCCTCCACTTACTATATACAGTGGTTATTCCTCCATAAAATGGATCTGCATTCTCTGGTGTTACTGGATTAAGTGAATGAATATTTGTAAAGCTCTTAGAACAGTATCTGGCATGCATACGACGTATAGAAATGCTTGTTAAGTATATCACTAAAATTTAGATATGTGTTAATGTCGAGGCGCCTGGGTGGTGCAGTCGGTTAAGCATCTGACTCTTGGTCTCACTTGGGGTCATGATTTCAGGGTCGTGGGATCAAGCTCCACCTTGGGCTCCACGCTTAGCTCGGAGTCTGCTCAAGATTCTCTCCCTCTGCCCTACCCCCCCCCAACTCCTGCACTCTCTCTCCCTCTCTAAAATAAATAAATCTCAAAAAAAAAAAAAAAAGTAAAGAAAAGAAAAAAAGATGTGTTAATGTCATGTCTTACTGGCCCAGTGGTCTTCTAAAATTCAAAAGGTCTGTTTCTCTTTTTACAGACTAAAATAGCATCCTACAAAACTTTCCCAGCTGGTAGCTGGGTCAGAGAGGATGGTGATTTCAGCCAACAGACTGGGAACCCCAAAATAAATTTGCACCATCTAGGGGTTTTACTTGTTTGGTTGGACTCACCTCAGCCCTTTGGTTTTGCAGTTGGTGATGTATATTGGCCAGGTGGCCAAGGACATCTTGAAGTGGCCTCGTCCCCTCTCCCCACCTGTGGTAAAGCTGGAGAAAAGGGTGATTGATGAGTACGGAATGCCGTCCACCCATGCCATGGCGGCCACGGTCATATCCTTCACCCTCCTCATCTCTACTATGGACAGATACCAGGTGAGGCCCGACTCCTCTTCCTCCCGCGTAACCTCATCCATGCAGTGAGGCAGCAAAGAGAGGTTTTGCTTCAGAATTTTCCTTTTTGAGGAACTTTGAGGTTTATGAAATAAAGACTATGGGGGATCGAAATGTATTGAGCCATCAGTGACAATTTCTTCATAGAGAAAGTGACATATGGCTTAGCGTCCAAATGAGGCCATGCCTCATGGTGAAAGTGATACCCCCAGGAACAACACCCCCACCACGAGACAACATGGACTGCCCCAGGAACCAGGGTGTGGAGTCTCCCCAGCAGAGCATCATCACCCTGAGCTGCCCAACTAGACCGCACATTATCGGTTCTCTCATCATCTTGTTTGCAGCAGACGGGAGGAGCTTAGGATCCTCATCATTGGTCCTCCAGGACTGAGATGATTCCCCCAGATAAATCCTCCTGCTAGACTCCCCAGGGCCTGGGGCAGGAAAGAGTCTGGGCCCCACATTGGTTCCCAAGGATGCCTCTGCCCCTGGTTGGGGCTCAACCACTAGAAATAATGGCTCCATGTTTTCTAGAGTACTCTAAGGGACAGCAGGTTGATAAATGTTGCAAATAGAAGAATGTCACTTAATTAATAATCTGCTTAGATGCCAGTTACAGTCAGACCTTTTAAAAGTTGCACTAGCACTGCAGTGAAGTTTTTTTTGCCTGAGAAGTTTTGCTCCAAGTTTGTGTTTCGTTTAATAAATAGTACCTTTTACTCTCCGGACAATTCAGATTTCATTAAACTTAACTATCTTGTATGTAAAAGACAGTACTGTTTCGCCTCGTCCCTTCACCCTCAAAACACGGGAGCACATTTTATGCTCCAGGTTGTGCAGAACTAGGGGAGTCTGCCTGATGCAGTTGGACAAAGACAAGATTAGTGTTGGGTCCTGGCTCTACATCTATGGTCTTCTGCCTAGTCACCTGGGGGTCAGACCTCAGTTTCCTGGATGGGAAAGGGATGGGTCTAAGGAGTATGTCCAACTAGGTATATTATAATCTTCGTAACTTACGTGTCAAGCCCAGATCAGGAATGTCTGAGATCTCCAGTACTGTCTGAGTTCACTTAATGCAGACTTAGGAGCTACGTCGTACACAGGGCATCTGCCCCAGAAGGACACGGGCGGCCCAAGGCCGGCCCCCATCAGGCTGCTCTCAGCCTCCAGAGAGGCATTGTGCAGGAAAAAAAGCCCCAAGTAGCAGCTGACGGCAAGAACACAGCAACAACCACTGTTTATAGACTCATTTCAAGGCCTCCTGGTCCTTCTCAAAAAACTCTTTTCAGCTCATATGATGCAGCAGTTTTCAGCCTGAGCTGTTATTCAATTTTTAATGATAAATATATTTAGCTATTTGGGTTATTTGCTGTAAACAGTTCTAAATATGGCTTATTTATATGACTGTGTGTGCAGGCTAATGCTCAGACTCTAATTTTTGAAAGCATTAACTCATTCATTTTTAACCCTTTTTCTTAAATTAAAATCCAAGACGCGGTTAATGATAAATGTTAAGAAAAGACCTACGACCATGTGTAATTGTACTCCCATCTTGCATCAGAAAGAACGTGCTGGGCTTGGATTCAGAAGAGGGGGCTTCTGGTTCTGACTCTTACCCTTTATGGACTGAGTGAGCTTGGGCAGGTCGTTTGGCCTCTCTGGGGCCAGCTCCTGTTGTGAGGACCAAATGGGATGATGGATGAGAAAGCGTCTGTGTGCTAAAGTTTAATAGCGACGTAACTGATTATCTAGGTTAAGGATTTCCTCAGCTGTGGAATGGAGCTAATGATAGAACCCACTTCATAGGGTTGTGTGAAGACAGGAGGAGGGGGTGACTCTAAAGTGCTTCACACAACGTAGACAGCTCTCTGCCATCTTTATTCTTTTCACCATGGGACACCACAGGTGTTAGTGCTTGAAGCACATGGATTATGTCTCTACGTCTTCGTTTATAAGCAGAATACCCCTATGCTCCTTATAGGACTCAGCAGTAGCCAGATTCCTCTGGTTGCTGTAGTTACCCACCAGCAAATGTTGAGATGTAGTAAAGTCTGGATTTTTGCCTCAACATCTGTATGTAAAGGTGCCCGTTCTTAGCCTGGCTGGGCTTCCTTAGGAAGTCAGTGGTTGCCAAGCTTTACCACCCAGCGCTCAATGAGGAAGTCGTCGGTTGCGCTTCCGGGTGATGGAACTGTCCCATCTACCTCGCCCCTCACTCCATACTCTACACTTCATACATGTTGGGCTAAGAACAGGTTGAAGTAAAGAATGATTTACTTCACGAAAACTATCCGCACCATGTCTGTGGTCATGAGGCCTTAAGCCGAGTTCTAACGATGTCGTAGGCATCTTCCCCTTCTTTTTGCTCTTTTTCCCACTTTTCAAGTGGTTTGAGACCATCAGACTGCCGCTCTGGGGAAACTGAGGTTGAGGCTAGCAGTCGTTGGGTGGGAACCCTTTCCTCCCACCGTGTCAAACCGTGTGAGCAAGATCTCATTGCCTTGTTTTCTCTCCTCCCCCCCACAGTATCCCTTTGCTTTGGGACTGCTGATGGCTGTGGTGTTTTCCACCTTGGTGTGTCTCAGCAGACTGTACACCGGGATGCACACGGTGCTGGTAAGTCCTGCGGTCAGGTCTTCAGGTGACTGTCCCAATAACCCTGCGGCCGATGTATCAGTGTGTTCTTCACACTTCTACAGCTGTTTGCATGTGTAATTATATTTCCCATCAGGCCCATGAGGTAAGTAATTATTATTTTGTGGCCCCTGCATAATAATAATAATAATAATAATGAATCATTAAGATAATATCAAGGAGGCTCACGTGGGCTAGACCCTCATGACTTGGAAGATTGGCTAGAATGGCAACAGAGGCTCAGTCATGTTGGTTCATGTTGGTTTACTGATGATGCAGAAGTAGTGCAGGAAAAACACCCAGGGTCAAGGAGACGAGCGGGTGGATAGGGTTCCCCACTTAGGCCCTCACACAGACAGGCCTGGATTTTTAAGGATCTCAGCTGCCCTTTTAGAGAAGGGGTCCCACTGGGTCAAAAGAGCCCAGAATCATGGGTTCGCTTCCTTCTGTACTGTTCTGGGCTGGGGGCCGTGGTGGGCACAGAGAGACCCACCTGCATTTAAAGGTTCAGCTACCCTTTTACCATATTCAGAATTTCAAGGGCTGCTCTGGTTAGCACAGTTAAAACCACCTCAGAGCTCTATTTCCTGGTGTATTAACCAGTTGCCTTGAGGTTCCAGAGCACAAGGCTGGCTATGGTTTACCACAGGGCACTACTGATCATCATAACTGGCCTAAGAAAGATGTCTCTAAAAAGGAATGGGCCCTTGCTATTTGTTGTACTCACCATATGAAGCTCAAAACCTGTTAGAAAAGGCCACCCTCTTGTTTCTCCTCCCGGTGCCTGGCGTTGGCAGTTGCAAGAAGGGTGGCAGGGAGGGTTGGGAAGGGCAGAAGCAGCAGAGGTGAACGGGTAACCAGGAAATAAGCCCAGAGAAAACAAGCTTATGGCTACACGAGACTCAGAGAGAGACATCTTGCTTCCCTCATGAAAATGCACACCCTAACTCAAGGAAAAGCAAGGGGGAGCCGAGAGCCAATGGAGTCGGGGCTGGGCCTTGGTGAGGGAAGTAAGGCACAAACGGCATGCCAGACAGCTCCGTGACCAAGGTGAAGGATTTTAATGTAGTACTTAAATCAAAATGAATGTGAAAAGTTTCCATGTTAAACCAAACATCCGGGGCACCTGGGTGGCTCAGTCGGTTAAGCGTCTGCCTTCAGCTCAGGTCATGATCCCAGGGTCCTGGGATCGAGCCCCGCGTCAGGCTCCCTGCTCAGTGGGGAGCCTGCTTCTCCCTCTCCCTCTGCCTCTCCCCTTGCTTGTGTTCTCTCTCTTTCTCTCTGTCAAATAAATAAATAAAATCTTTTTTTAAAAATCCACATTTCAAATAAGGTCCAGCTCTGCCCCTGAATTTGCCCGCCGCTGCTTCTCTTGCCCCATCCTCACCCCGGCCTGACCAGATCTGGAAGATTCTACAGGAGCAGTTAGGGGCCTGGCTCCTCTCTCTCCCGAGATGTGTCCTTGCCGTCCCTGTCCCGTCACCCGGCGCATCTGGCTTCTGAGCCCACAGGGGAACAGAGAGGAGAGCATTCTTGATTTGCCACACTACTGCTTTGCATTAGAAAGACGTTCTCTCCAAATACGTCCACAGACTTAAAAATGGAACCAGGCAGAAGTCTCACGGGTGTTTTGGCATTTCTTTTATCTGGGGCTACTTTTTTTAATTTCCATAGGCTGTCATAAAAAAAATGATCGTGAGAATTCAGGTCAACATGAAAAGCAGTGTAAACACGAGGACGTGGGGCTGCCGACGTGAGTAGAGATCACAGAAAACCTACCTCAAGAAAAACACAGCTTCGTGTCTGGCTTTTCTTTTTCAAGTGTTTTATGGGGATAGGGAAGCAGATATTTGTGGGGAAGATTACTTAAGCCTCTCATTCAGCTGCAGGGAATGGGCACGGCAGCTCCTTTTGGAGCATCTGTCCCAGAAGAAACTGGAGAGAAGCTGTAGCAACTTCCACCCCTACCCTGTGCCCCCATCGCCGCCCCCCCCCGCCCCGGGGACTCCTTCCACAAGTGCAATTTTATTTTATAAAGGTCTGAGACCCTGACTCAGGCCCAGGCCCGAGTGGAGACAGACGCATGGCCCAGGGTTCGATGGCACATAATTTCTAGTAGCTGAAGGGGGCAGTTGGTTTTAATAGTAAGATCCAGTTAAATAATGGATTGGAAGTCTTCTTCCTTCAACAGCAACTCAGTAGTTTGCTGCAGGGTGCCAGGCCGGGAGCTTGATCATTGAGATATGGAAGTAAACAAAACCTACCTCACCCTTCTGGGTCCCTGAGTGTTGATGGTGACAGAGGTATGAGCTGCTGATAATTAGCCTGGAGCAGCTTGATCAGGCCGACTAAGGGGGCATGCCTCTCCCCCAGACCCCTTGCGGTCGCCAGGAACTGCCATGAGCTAATGGTTCTCAACCCTGACTGTGTATTCTCATCCCACGGAAAGCTTTGTAAAAATATCCCTGGGGGTATTTGGACACACACATTCATACCAGCAGCATTATTCACAATAGCTGAAGAGTGGAAATCACACACGCACACACACACACACACATCCTAAGCATTGGTATTTGTTCAAAGATCCTCCGTAGATTTCTATGTGCAGCCAGGGTTGAGAGCCATGATTAGACTAATTATCCTTTAAACTGGCCACGAGCCTGTGCCTGAACCAGACCGGAGCAGGAAGGTGGCAGGCAGATGGAGACGGATGCTATGTAGACACCTGCCACGTCCACAGCATGAATCCTCTAATGGTGTGCAGCGAGGACACAAACAGCTCGCACGTCATTCAGGGGGCTGCCTGCTTCATGCAAATGGTTCTCTGCCCATGAAGCTGAAGCAATTCAAGGAGAACAGAAATTTACTTATCTCACCCCTTAAGAAATCACTCCTTGTCAGAGGTGAGTGGTTTGCTCGCTGAAGTCAAGGCTTTGGGGACAGGCCCCAAGCTGACTCCTGGGCAGGCCTGAATGAAGCCTGAGGAGGCAGCAAACCCACCCGTGGGGTCACTGTCCTGCCAAACCAGCTCTGACTGCACCTCAGAGAAGGGTGTCTCCATCCACCAAGATGCCTCAGCAAGAAAGTTGGGCACCACCCTAGCTCCTCCCTTCCCACACTCCTCAGCTGGGCAGTCACCAAGCTGAACTCGTTCTGACTCTTAAAAATTTCTTAGAGCAGCTCTCACACCACTGCCAGGATATTAGGAGTGTCTCCATCTCCTGCTGGATGTGAAGTATGACCCAGGTAGCCCCAACTGTGAGTGGCAGCCATCTGGGGACCCTAAGGGAACTAACCTTTGAGAGAAGTCGGTACTGTTCATGGCAAAACATGGAAATAAAACATGGCAGCCCTGATGACATCCTTGAGCTGCTGATCCACCACACCTGGGGCCACACTGCCTCTAGGCTTGTTGTTCAAGGTAAAAAGTTCACTATTGCTCAACTGATTTTTATGGAAGTCTTACATTTCCCATAGTGAAAAGTGTCCTAACCAATGATTTACAGAAACAATTTTTTGTGTATAATTTCATGTTCTCTTGGTTTGAAGAGGAAACCAATTGCAGTCAGCTGAAGGGGAGTGGTGGGGAAGGAAGAAAGACAGGGTAGAATGTCTTGGAAGGCCTGGGGCAGCTCATGGAACTCAGTATGGATGGGACTGAGCAACTAAACCTCTGAAAAGCCCAGAACCATGGTGTCTCCGAGAATGCCTTCCTGTCCCTCTGGAGGACTACTGTTCGAAGAACCTCACAACCTCTCTCTCAGATCAAAACCTTAATTTCCAGAGGTCTGTGTGCTACCCTTGGACCAGTGAGGCTCAGGAAGAGGAACAGGTCCCAGAGCAGAAACAAGACCCCAGGAGTCACTCCCGTGGGCTACAAAGGCAGTGCCCCGAGAACAGAGAGTAGAAAGACAACCCAGAATTCCCAAACCTAAGAAGTTACTGTCTGCACAGGTCAGGACTCCTAGAGTGCAAATAATAGACACCAACTCAAACTCACTTAAGCTTAAAGGAAAATGTATTGGTTTTTATAGCCACGCTGTAGGAAGGGCAGAGGGCAGGTAGCCATTGGGAGAACGGGACTTGCAGTCTAGATCTTTGCTGGAAGTCTCCCCACTCATCCTTAAGCTTCTCTGTACATCTCTTCACATGGTAGATCCGTGCTCTTGGGCTGCCTTCTCTCTGAGGCTAGATCCAAGGAGCTCTGGGCTTAAATTCTGTTTTGTTCCTGAAAGGATTGTAGTAGAGAGAATTTCAGGAAAGCGTCTAATGGCCTGACCTGCACAGCGAGCCCATTGCTGCACCTAATGCTATGGGAGGGTGCCGAGGACGGTGGTTGGTCCAGCAGGGGTAGGAGCCAGCCTGTGTGAGCAGGGGCCCTGATGGGCAGGGCTGGTTAGGGTTGGGATTAGGGTTGGCCTGTGGGAGGAGCAGTTCTCCAAAATGAAATGGGTCTGTTGTCAGAAGAAAAGGGCAGAAAAATCCCTAGTGGTACCCTTTCTACATTGACATTATTGCGTTTTCCTGCTCTTCCAAGGACTCAGAAACTGGGCATTATGCTTGTTTATGTGGGGAAAGGAGGATTAGAGCAAATCAAGAAAGTTTCATGCTCAGTTTTCGGTGCCTGAGATTAATCAACTTGTACAGAATTGATTTTAAGTCTTTTGACTGATAAGGCAATTATCCCCAATATGTTAACGGTAAAATTAGCCGGAGTTGTTGTTGCTAGATTAGTGAATGGTTGTCCCACTATTTTGAATTTGCATCAGCTGAAATGCTGTTCTATTTTATTGTCCCTAAATTGTTTGATCTATGGATAATTATATAGATACTGGGTTTTATTTTTTATTTGCTTACTCATTTATTTTTTTTCCCCTATTGCTTTAGTTTTGGTTGCAGTTGGAGAACGTTGAAAAGGCTTCTCAAATATTAAATTATCTGCAGCCCATACAAAACTCTGTTCTGGCTTTGGACTAGAGCAG